CATGAACGTTTTAGCTTTTTCAGCACATACAAAGATTAGACAATACTATACAAATACACCACATAACTTATCTTCGTATCTCGTGGCAGCCAGGTCGATGTCAAGCCAATAGTCTGGCCAGGCACACGGAATATGTCATTGGCCGTCAGCCGATAATAAGATAAAATTGTGAAGACAGTTTAGCCCTCTAGGATTTAGATAAAGCTGTATTGGCAGTGGACTTTGAGAAAGCTTTTGACAGCGTCTAATGAGACAGTCTCTGGAAAATTTTACGATATTATGGAATTCTACAAAAGATAGTCAACATAATTGCTTTCTTCTATAAAGACTTTTCCTGCAGTATAAAAAATTACAATACATCTTTCCCAGTAAAGACGGGTGTAAGACAGGGATGTGTTATGTCATCTCTCCTCTTCAACCTTGTGATTGATTGGATACTAAAGAACACAGTAGACAGGACATTGAAAGGCATACAGTGGACTCCATTCACCATGCTTGAGGACCTTGATTTTGGAGATGATATAGCTCTCCTATCACATAAACATGAACATATACAAGAGATAGATAACAGACTAAACTGCACAGCAGAAAGGTGGGGCTGAGAATAAATACAAAGAAAACTAAGATTATGACAAACAGTCCAAACCAACAACCAGTGACCATAAGTAACCAATCACTTGAAAATGTAGACCATTTCACATATTTTGGCAGTGTGGTGTCCCTACTGGGGGGGGGGGGGGAACAGAGGAAGACATACAGTCACGTCTGAACAAAGCTAGAGCTGCTTTTGGAAGAATGAGGCAAATCTGGAAATCCAACAATTACTGCAGAGGAACGAAACTCCGACTCTACAAGAGATCATTTTGCCAGTTCTTCTTTATGGAGCAGAATGCTGGAGAATGACCAAAAAAGATGTACACAAGCTGTCAACCTTCCACCACACATGTCTAAGTAGAATTATCAACATTTTCTGGCCAGAAACAATCTCAAACAATAAACTACTTGAAGTCACAAACCAAGAAACTCTAAACAGTATGATAACCAAGTAAAGATGGAAATGGCTTGGCAACGTTATGAGAATGAATCCTGATATATCTGCCAAAACATCTCTCACGTGGATACCAGGTGGAAAGAGACAAAAAAAATGGGCGCCCAAAAACAACATGGAGACGAACGATGGAAAGTGACCTGAATGTGGCATCTTCGACATGGAAAACTGCATTGAAGATTGCACAGGACAGGAAAGCATTTAAAGTCCTCTCTGAAGCCTCATGTGCCCCTAGGTATAACGAAATCTGTTGATGTGCTGGCAGATTAGTCCACTGGGGGCCAGAGTTCCCAAACTGCATTAAGCGATTTTCAAGAGACTTGCGAAAGCTGTCGCTGGAGTGGCTTGATTTATTAGCTGTTGCTACCATGTCGTGGACACATTGGCGGTCCTGGAAATTGAAACGAAGTGGTACTAGTTTCAGGGCGCCTCTCTGCACGTCCACGAGATGTTGCCTGAACCTGTCAGCCAGTCGTAAACCCGTTTCACCGATGTATTGTATGCCAAATCGCTTGCAGTAGATGGCATAAATGACATTACAGCTCGTGCAATAGAATGCTTCACATATGTGGAAGGTGGCATTTGGGAATTCCAGACTGTTACCCTGATCTACATACGGACAAGTCCTGCATACAGGTCTGTGGCATAAGACCGTCCCGAAGTGGGACTCGGAGGCAGGACGTAACCGACTCTTAACTAGAATGTCCTTGATGTTACGGTCATGCCTGTAGGCCAGTAAAGGAAGTTCAGAGACAATCTTGCTGGTTGTTTGGTCAGACCTAAGAATGGAAAGATTCTTGAGGAGACTGTCTTTATAGGTCTGTTGTGGAGACGGTTAGGCTTAGAAACGAGAGCCTCAGCATGATAATTAGACCGTGCTCGGTGAAAGGCAGCAGATAAAACATGTTTCGGATACCCTCGGAGGCAGAAAAAGTCCAACATTTCCAGGGCCTTGTAGTGAAAGTCATCGATCTCCTGGCATAGTTTGCAAAGGCGTAGAAGTTGGGATAACGGAATAGAGTCCTTGCAGGAAGAGGGATAAGAGGACGTGTAGAGAGGAAAAGCGTGGGAATCAGTAGGGTTATAGCACACCGAGGTGCTGAGGCCTTTAGAGTCCACGGTGAAAATGAGATGCAGAAAATGCGCTGACGAAAGTGAAATGCTAAAAGTGCACCGGATGCTGGGATGAAAGTTAGAGAAACATGAATGAAGTATTGCACTGCAGGTAGGGACATATCGGTGACACCGATGCAATCATCGATATACCTCGTGTAGAGCTCGGGCAGCCTACCGGTTTGAGTATGACGAGTCGGATGCTCCAGGTGCTCCATGAAAAGGCAGGCATAACTAGGTCCCATCTTGGCGCCCATAGCGACGCCGCTGATCTGGTTGAAGTAATTGCCGTTAAACTCGCAATAGTTTAGAGTGAGCACTAACTCTGCCAGACGCATCAAGGTGTCTGTGGCTATGGCAGGGCTGACTCTACGATCTAGGACAGAACCGCAACGTCTGGAGCCCATCAGAGTGTGGAATAGAAGTATAGAGGGAGGAAACATCTAAGGTGAAGATGTGGTACCTGGAAGAAGAGGTAAAAAGTATGGATAGAAAGGCGGAGATAGCATGGTTGGTATCCTTGATTAATGAAGAAAAGATATGCAACCGAAAGAAAAGTATATTAGCAAGCTTCACAATATAACAAATACAAACAAAACGTGAATGTTGCGGCTTTTAAGCCTTCATCAGCAAATACAAACGAAACAATACTACACAGATACACAAAATCACTTAGCTGGTATCTCGAAGAAGCCGGGTGCGTTGTTTCTCAGCAGAATGACTACACGTGTCGGCTGGGGGGGGGGGGGGGAAATACCCCATGTGCAGTACCAGGGGCAATAACTGGGGAGCTCGGGATAAATCTTTGAGGGCAGTTCAATCCCCTGGGAGTTTAAATGAAACTGTGTTGGCAATTCAGTCCGGAGGTTGTTACAGTCCCCATAGTATAAATAAAGCGATTCTCAAAAGACTTGCGGACTCTGTCGCTGGAATGGTTGGATTTAATTGCTGTCACCTTCATGTCGAGGACACCTTGATGTAGGACGGAAGACCTACGACCAGGGGCTGCAAGATACGGTACAGGAACCCAAATATGAGTTCTGTGGGACAAGCGCAGGAGGACACGATCGAGTAGTGAAAGAGGGTTTAGGAAGGGGTGAACAGAGTACGATACTTGATAATCCCATGCACACTAGATTAGTATGCTGGTCAGGCAAGACCACACCGAAATAAAACATAGAGAGACGGAGAAAAACAGGTGGACATACCGAATGTGTGAGATAGCTGAGGCAGGTAGGGGGCAGACATGACAGATCACCCACGCTAAGAAGACGACCAGGGACTGAGGTCAGCGAGTACACAACGGGGAAAGACCCGGATGTTGGGAAGATAAGACGACGGACGATAGCATCAACAGGGACCAAAGACTAACGATAGTATCGGCGAATGCGAAAAGACCACATTGAAACGATAAGAGAGAAACAGATGCAGGGAGAGAGAGAAAACGGATGAAGAAATCACGTGGGCTTGGAATATGAGAGAGGGACAGTCAGAGCCTGAGGGTTAAAGCTGGCGGTCTACAAGAACTGAAGGTTGTTAGAAGAAGGTGATCGTTGAACCTGGTGAAGCTTCGCTAGAAGAGATATTTCTACAGGACGTTAAAAGAGACTGGAGAAACAGACGAGAGAGTAAGAACCTGCTCGTAATGAAGTAACGTCCTAGCAACATGTATTGAAGTTATGAATCCTTATCGTCACATATGAATAGCCAGCAACATAATATAGTGAAGTATTCCTACTTCCGTTTTAAGGAAATGTATCGTTCTGCTTAAATTAACATTATATTGTTTAATAAAAAAAACTTGTTTTCCATGGATTTGTTAGATCACTGGCCGTGTTGTCAAACACAATCAAGAAACGTACAAACATTATTGTATATAATTAAGTTCCTTTAGGCACATCTGAATGAGCTTGGGAGATGTGGAAGAAACAACTGTGTCACAATCGGTTTATCTGACTGTCTGGTTTATATATCTTGGGAAACATAGAGAAGCCGGGCTTTCCCAGACAGCTAGCCCGAGAGTGAAGTTAGGTGTGTTTAGATTCGGGCTTGTAAAATTATGTTATATCTTACATACAGTGAAGTGTGGTGTTTTTAGATATTATTCTGTCAAATTGGGTTAGATCTTACATCCTAAAAAGATAAAAATATCAGGGAAGATTTCTCAGCAAACAGCATCTTGTCTCAAAAACTGAAATATGTTGCCCGTATCAAGTGACATAAAGCAGAAGGCGTGATGCCGGGAAAGATGAAATTAGCAGGGACCAATCAGGAGAGAGAGATGGGCAGGGACCAATCAGGGAAGAGATCTGCAGGGACCAATCAGACGAGAGATTGGCAGGGACTAATCAGGGAAGAGATGGGCAGCGACTAATAAGGAAAGAGATAGGCAGGGACCAATCAGGAGAGAGATGGGCATTGGATATAGCAGAAACACTAGGTAAGAAAGTGCATAATGGATTGACATTCTTTTAATGAAAGCTCTATTTGAAGTAGCGTTGGCTAAGGGATCTGCCTCATGATGATGATTATAAGATAATACACCGCAATAAAAAATCTGTCTCATCATGGCGGAGATATTTGGTTCCAAGAGTAAGCAGACTTATCACTTACATGTAGAATGCTTCTTTCTCCTGCCTGAGAGGCAAGGAACCAGCAGTTTTCATATTTAAAAAGAACAGATCTGTAAAACGGATGTGAGCGCAAAATGCAAGTCTTGAACAAGATGAAAGTCCAGGAGTAAACGAACAACCAGAGCTTTCCGCTCAAGTTTAAACTGAAGAAAACGAAGAAGATTCAGAAGTTACTGAGTGCGATAATAAATGCTCTTTTCCCGCAGAAACCGAACCGGAAGTTTGCCCTTACGAGACCTGTCTACAGATACTGGGAGAGGAAGCCAACTGTTGGTCAGTTTTCATGTATTGTTGAGGGGGGGGGGGTTGGGGGCTGCGTGGTCTTAGGGAATGGTGTCCGCCTGCTAAATTTTGGAGTGAGAATCTACCCAAAATATTTTAGGATCCTCGATGATAATACGGAGCGCGTGCACTGCGCTGAGCCACTTCGGAATCAGGCTTGAGTTAGACGTATAATGGAGCACTTATGGGTTATTACCCGTGTGCCATAATGTTGATCCGTTGTTCAAACCTAAATCAATAGGAATAAACCCACAGGGAGCAAGTACAGCAGGGATCTACCAGTCATCAGTAGAAATTATCCTCGTCGACACGCGTTTCGGCCCACGATTCCTAGACGCATTCGGAGGTGGGCCCTCCTGAGTTCATGAAGCTCAGGGCTGGTTCCCTGCTGCACGGAATTACCGGATGGTGTTTTTCTTTCGGCCAGAGACAAGACGACTTGGTGGTTTCGTAGAAGGTACTGTAAGATAAGAAGTCGCCGCGGCAGCCTAATTAAAGCAGTCAACATGCCTGGACGACCGAGCGACAAGCTTACGATTGGTTTACCGGACACATGTTGGACTTTTATTAGCAGGTGGCAGAGGAACACTGGCAGACAATTCGGACACGATGGACTTTCAAGGAGTGAGAAACCCTTTTCCACTAGACACCCGGACCAACTCACAGAGGCCCGTCCCCTACGTTGTTGCGTTGCGTCCAAAGCCAGCTAGAGGCCCTTTCGGCTGCCTTTCCCAGTTTTTTGAGTGTTCGTTTCCGTTCATTACCGCGCAATCCTAGTTCTTTCACCACATTGTAGAGCGAAGTGGAAACGAGGCCTCTCGCTCCCACTTCGACGGCAAATACCCGTACTGTGTAAGCCTCGTTTCTCCTCAGACCGGCTGCTAAATCACTGTATTTCTCGAGCTTATACATGTGATTCTCCTCCATCCGCGACTCATATGGGACAGTCAGCTCGATCAGGATGAGCTGCCGTTTTTGCGCAGAGTGGAGAACTATGTCCGGTCGCAGGCCGGTCTTACGGATCAACTCGGGGTACCGTTCATGGCCTGGCAGATCAACCGCCAGTAACTAGTCCCTCGCAGAGTCTAGCACAGATGGAGCGAATGCGTTTTGGTTGACCTTACCTTTTGGAACCTGCCCAGCCTTGAGGAAACGAATGGGGACGATGCTAGAACTGGCTCTGGCGTTAGCCCTCATTCTAGCCTGGTCGACAACGGCTGCTAACTCGTTTAGCACCTTGTTGTGTCGCCAGGTATATCGGCCTTGACCTAGGGCTTTCCTGCACGCGGACAGGACGTGCTCAAGAGTTTGCTTCGATTTACACAACGGGCAAGTCGGATCGTTGGTCGCAGACCATTTAACCATGTTAACACCGGACGGTAATACATCGTGCGCCGAACGAACGATAAAGCTCAGTCGCAGCGGGGTCATCCGCCAGACCTCACCCCATGTGAGTATTCTTGGCAATGCGCTCTCCAGGCTGACCCAATGGCCCTGCTGCGACTGCTGGGCTGCTTTCTGGACCCGAACCTCGTTTTCGTTGTCCCTCACCGTTTGTATTACCATGTCTCGGCGTTCTTTGGCTGAGGCCTTTGACCATCAATTGACCTTCCCGTGCCCTAGGCCTCGACGGTCGGTTTGAGTGTATCCCATTATCTCCTTCAATTTTAGTGCGTTCTGCGCAGACTCAATCGCATCGAGGACTCTCCACTTCTGACCAGTCTTTAGAGCGGGCTGGACAGCGATAACATTTGGGTCTGAAGACTCGCGCAAGAGCATGGCGAGTATTACTTTGCCAACTTTAAACTCTTCGGTTATTGATTTGAACGGAAGTACCAGCTTAGCCTGCTTACAATACAGAGCCACGTCGGTCAGACAAGGCGGTGCTCCAATCCACTTTCTTAAGGCTGTGTTGATTTTCTTCTCCATGGTTTCCACTGCAGTCATCGTCACCTCGTAGACTAGCAGTGGCCATAGGAGTTTCGGAATCAACATGAATTGGAGACACCATACCTTGAATTTTCCGACCAGCCTGCATCGCTCGATCGCGAGCAGGCCTGTAGCCAGTGACTCGTGTATTCGCCGGACTTCCGCTCTATCAAATAACTTCGAATCGTAAACGCGACCGAGACTCTTTACCGGTTCCTCCAGAACCGTGGGGATCTTGTTCCTTGCCACCGTAAAACTGGTTGCCGACACCTTGCCCTTATGGAATGACAGACTCCTCGACTTCTGCGGTTTGAACTGCATACCGCTCCATTGGACCACCGCGTCCAAACTTTTCAGGATCGTGCGGGCAGACTCCTCGCTGCCCGTTATTATAGTCGTGTCATGCCATAATGTTGATCCGTTGTTCAAACCTAAATCAAACCTAATGATGTGTTGTTTACAGTCTGAAAGTTGAAGTCTTCAGGATCGTGACGTTACATTTGGGTTCTATCTCGCATGGCTGGTTCTTCTAACAGAAGGGCAAACCTTCTACCGAGGACAGCACACAAAGCACACACTCCGGAGCTACATCGCAATCCACATGGAAATCTGTTAAACTGTACTTGTGAGTCGAACGGCAATACGTAAAAGGATCCGACGACCTTTAGCACAGGAGACAAACAGCCTGACCTCTTGGCCTTTGTCCCTCATCTCCCGTCCCATAGTCAGATGCTCGTTGTGTGTTAATCACGTTAAACTTGGACATGTATATTGTCGTTAAGAGAAAGTTACTATAATAACTGAAGTGTTTGAGTTAGACTGCTATCTGACTGAGTCTACTGAGTTCAGACTGTCAATCGACGGCTGACTGTCATCTAACGGCTGACTGTCATCTAACGGCTAACTGTTATCTGGTAGCAGACTGTCATCTGAGAGCTAACTGTTATCTGATAGCAGACTGTCATCTGACAGCTAACTGTCATCTGGTAGCAGACTGTCATCTGACGGCTAACTGTTATCTGATAGCAGACTGTCATCTGACGGCTAAATGTTATATGGTAGCAGACTGTCATCTGACGGCTAACTGTCATCCGGTAGCAGACTGTTATCTGGTAGCAGACTGTCATCTGGTAGCAGACTGTTATCTGATAGCAGACTGTCATCTGGTAGCAGACTGTCATCTGACGGCTAACTGTCATATGGTAGCAGACTGTCATCTGATGGCTAACTGTCATCTGATAGCAGACTGTCATCTGACGGCTAACTGTCATCTGGTAGCAGACTGTCATCTGACGGCTAACTGTCATCTGGTAGCAGACTGTTATCTGGTAGCAGACTGTCATCTGATAGCAGAATGTCATCTGGTAGCAGACTGTTATCTGATAGCAGACTGTCATCTGGTAGCAGACTGTCATCTGACGGCTAACTGTCATCTGGTAGCAGACTGTCATCTGACGGCTAACTGTCATCTGATAGCAGACTGTCATCTTACGGCTAACTGTCATCTGGTAGCAGACTGTCATCTGACGGCTAACTGTCATCTGATAGCAGACTGTCATCTGACGGCTAACTGTCATCTGGTAGCAGACTGTCATCTGACGGCTAACTGTCATCTGGTAGCAGACTGTCATCTGACGGCTAACTGTCATCTGGTAGCAGACTGTTATCTGGTAGCAGACTGTCATCTGATAGCAGACTGTTATCTGATAGCAGACTGTCATCTGGTAGCAGACTGTAATCTGACGGCTAACTGTCATCTGGTAGCAGACTGTTATCTGATAGCAGACTGTCATCTGGTAGCAGACTGTAATCTGACGGCTAACTGTCATCTGGTAGCAGACTGTCATCTGACGGCTAAGTGTCATCTGATAGCAGACTGTCATCTGACGGCTTACTGTCATCTGGTAGCAGACTGCCATCTGACGGCTAACTGTCATCTGGTAGCAGACTGTTATCTGGTAGCAGACTGTCATCTGATAGCAGACTGTCATCTGGTAGCAGACTGTTATCTGATAGCAGACTGTCATCTGGTAGCAGACTGTCATCTGACGGCTAACTGTCATCTGGTAGCAGACTGTCATCTGACGGCTAACTGTCATCTGATAGCAGACTGTCATCTGACGGCTTACTGTCATCTGGTAGCAGACTGTCATCTGACGGCTAACTGTCATCTGATAGCAGACTGTCATCTGACGGCTAACTGTCATCTGGTAGCAGACTGTCATCTGACGGCTAACTCTCATCTGGTAGCAGACTGTCATCTGACGGCTAACTCTCATCTGGTAGCAGACTGTCATCTGACGGCTAACTGTCATCTGGTAGCAGACTGTTATCTGATAGCAGACTGTAATCTGGTACCAGACTGTCATCTGACTGCTAACTGTTATCTGATAGCAGACTGTCATCTGACGGCTAACTGTTATCTGGTAGCAGACTGTCATCTGACGGCTAACTGTTAACTGGTAGCAGACTGTCATCTGGTAGCAGACTGTCATCTGACGGCTAACTGTCATCTGGTAGCAGACTGTTATCTGACGGCTAACTGTTATCTGGTAGCAGACTGTCATCTGACGGCTAACTGTCATCTGGTAGCAGACTGTTATCTGACGGCTAACTGTCATCTGGTAGCAGACTGTCATCTGACGGCTAACTGTCATCTGGTAGCGGACTGTCATCTGGTAGCAGAATGTCATCTGGCGGCTAACTGTCATCTGATAGCAGACTGTCATCTGACGGCTGACTGTCATCTGGTAGCGGACTGTCATTTGACAGCTGACTGTCATCTGACGGCTAACTGTCATCTGGTAGCAGAATCTCATCTGGTAGCAGACTGTCATCTGACGGCTAACTGTCATCTGATAGCAGACTGTCTTCTGACGGCTGACTGTCATCTGACGTCTGTCATCTGGTAGCAGACTGTCATTTGACAGCTGACTGTCATCTGGTAGCAGACTTTAATCTGACAGTTGACTGTCATCTGGCCCTCCCAAGCCAACGAGCGGCTAATAATTGTTGAGACAGTGTCATTTCAGTCCTGTAAAACCTCGAGCCGTTCTAGCAAGTATCGCCTATTGTATACCGTTCTGCATGTTACTATTATTCTGTTCCATTTATTTCAATAATATTGCATGTAAATACTTTGATATTGTATTTTTGATGTCCGGTCAATTTTATTAGTGTTTTTTTTTTTTTTTTTTCACTGTTTTTATGCTAATGTTAGATTTGTAATAGTAAATTTGTTATATTTCATCCACATTAAAGAAGTGATATCTGATTACACATTTTAACTTGTTCACGTTTTGTCCACGTGGAAGGAATATACCAGAAGCAATTCTCTGTGGCGAGGGACGAGTCTTGAACAACCCTGCTTGTGCCGAAGATATTCGAAACGGAGCCAAAGACCAACTACGTCAGGGACAAGCGTTTCTGAAGAAGCACTGTTCATTCAACATCAGTGGTTTGTTTTATTGATTGTCGTTCTCACTGTATGTTCAACATCAGTGGTTTGTTTTATTGATTGTCGTTCTCACTGTTCATTCAACATCAGTGGTTTGTTTTATTGATGGTCGTTCTCACTGTCCGTTCAACATCAGTGGTTTGTTTTATTGATTGTCGTTCTCACTGTCTGTTCAACATCAGTGGTTTGTTTTATTGATTGTCGTTCTCACTGTCCGTTCAACATCAGTGGTTTGTTTTATTGATTGTCGTTCTCACTGTCCGTTCAACATCAGTGGTTTGTTTTATTGATTGTCGTTCTCACTGTCCGTTCAACATCAGTGGTTTGTTTTATTGATTGTCTTTCTCACTGCAGGATGTGTCAGGTTATGTGAGCATTTACATCCAGGGAAATGGTTTGTATTAAATATGTCAATCTAATCACAGTTTTGTCTAACTTTGTAAGATTATAGATACAATATCAATGTGTGCATTCCAGAGCCCCAGTATGACGTAGGGGGAAAATAGACCCACTGCCCCAACAAGCATGTCGTTAAAGTCGACTAGTTAGGGGTGTTTCCTCTAAAGTCGAAGAGGTCATGAATCAATAGTCTGCATACACATAAGCCAGATTTGTACAAATGTGTGCACTTTGAAATTTGAACAAAGAAGACACAAACAATAGATTACATAATGTATTGCCTAACATATTTCTCTGTATCACGTTAAGGGCATAATACTGTAATAATTGATTAAAATGAAGCAAAGAATACCTCCAACTAAAACACCAAATCGGCTACAGACAAAAACTGTCTGTTTCACCGGGGTACAAGCGAGGTGAAGACCGTGTCTGTATGTCTCTACAATTCTGGCAGCTGCTTCCATTAATCTCAATAACCTCAGCTTGGCTGAGGTGTAAATAATTCAAAAAACATCCACCTTGTTTACAATGTCCCCACAATTCAAAATACGTCACGCAATGGCTGACGGGTGATTTGTTTTTTCGACCAGTGACGACCTGTATGCATGATATTATCACGACTTGGTAATACTAAAAAGGTCTTTTTATATCAAATTCTTTAGTACTGTTTCTTAATGATTAATTTCATTTGATATATTACCTGTATCATGAAAAGATAACGAGCGAAACGAACAGTAGAACTAGTCAGCTTCAAGTTATACCAATCATAATAAACAAGTGATCGTCGCAGCAAGGAAGCCTTCTTCAGCGCATTACATTGATGGACAATGTTACAATTACCAACAGGAATAAATACAATAATTTAACTGAGGTATCTCTGGGAGAAATCCACATCTCTGCCTGGCAGGTCTTATGTTTATATGTGCGTGCGTGTGTATGTCTGTGTGTGTGCAATTACACCCTAAAGGTTGCTTCTGTCGTCAGGGGGATCCGAAAAGTGCGACGTGGGGAAATGTTTGGAGGGAGTAAACACTCAAGGCGTTACCTGTCAGTAAGTTATTGTTGTTGTTTTGAGTGTCAACGGTGACGTGTTTGTCAGACGTGATGTGTATGTTATATATAGCATTTTTTTTTTATCCACAGTAATATGGCATGATCTGGTTAATAGTGTGTGTTTCTAACAATGTAGTTGTAGCAGCAACAACAGCAGCAATAAAAGCTGTAGCAACAGAAGCAGAAATAGATAAATATAGAAGTAGCAGTATTAGCAGAGAGCAACTGTAGTAGAAGATATAGTAGTGCTTTATTTACAAATATTGGATTTGACGTCTAAATGTGGAAAAAGAAAAATGAAAAATCTACGTGCTGTAACATATTCTAATTTCCCAACTTCACAGATTCTTCTGTGACACAATCCTAACCTTGCTGATTATTTTTTGTTTTTGAACCAATTCTTTAAAAACTGTATTGAATATCCGGTGTCGCATTCAGCTTTAACCTGACACCTTTTGTGAACTTTATGTGCTGCAGTTAATTCTGACACGAACTAATTATCTCCAGGCTATAATTCTCAACCCTGGACGGTTGTTTTTGTATACGACTATATGTAGGTTATTAAAACTCATTCTATCTGAGACGATACTTAAAAAAAAACAAAAAAAATGTGAGACATAATAAGTTAAAGCTTCCTGTACTTGCTTTAAACAAAAATGAACTGACACACTCTGTTTCATGTCGACTTTAGAGTGAAGAAATGTTCACTAACGTGAAGCTACTTGTGTCTAGTTCTAAGTGAAGACATATTAACTAATATTAAGCTACTTGCTTTAGGTTTAGTTATACAGTTCCACTTCGTATAAAAAAAGACGCTACGTAGAGTGGTTTGTGGAAACATTTAAACGGAGCACCCCAAAAGTAGATCTAGCTCATCTTTGTGAAGGGGTCCTAACCAACAAGAACTATTTACTAACAAGAAGCTATTTGTGCATACCCTGGAAGCAGAGTATCAACGTGAAAACCATTCCATAAAAACTATAATTTTTTGTAAACTGCTTGAAGTGGCGTCTGGTATATTAACCAAACTAAGTCTAGAACTATTTTTTCCACTCTAGTGGCGTATCAGTGAAGATGGTGTTTGACTCACATTACATCGTCAAATCAAAATTTGATGGATGACGTCATCAACATAACTACGGGCTCCTTGATATCCCAAGATACACAAAGAACGCACTGCACAGATTCATTGATAGACATGTTTTCGGTTAATTTCTTGGTCGAGAGTTCTACAGTTACTAACTTTACAATGAGCTTTATGGCTTTTCAGCGAAATTATAGTAATGCGTGAGCGTGTGTGTATGTGTTTGTGAGGGGTTCAATATACTGCACATGCAACAGTCAAGTTCATCGGGACTTGGCTAGAGCCACTGGTAAAACCAGACGATAACAACCAGAATTTTTTTTAAACCGCCAGAGTTTCTAGCTGATGACCTAAGAGGAATGTATGTTGATGTAGCTCTGTAGTAATGCACCTGTCCAGAGACAGCGACATTACGCCAAAGGTAGTAAAACTGTGGACCTTCTCATTGTCTGAGCCTACATTTTTTAAACACGTGATATCCCAAGAAAAACATTGTGGAAGATGTTGTTGATCGTGTGTTCACAAGTTCTACTCCTGGTCGAGAGATGTACATACTAACTGAAACATGTTGATTTGTCATCTGTTCGGCAATAGGAATCTACTCCTGGGTCTCACTGTACATTGTGGAAGATGTTGATGTCGTGTGTTCACAAGTTCTACTCCTGGGTCTCACTGTACATTGTGGAAGATGTTGGTGTCATCTGCTCACAAGCTCTACTCCTGGGTCTCACTGTACAGAACTGTGGCTGATGGGGTCCGGTGTGCCGACAGGACGATCTTGAACAACCCCGCCTGTGATCAGAACCTAATCAGAGAGGTCGAGGGGAAAGCCGAGGTGGCCAACTTCTTATTGGGGAAGTACTGCAATAGCCACTCATATGGTAAATTTACTAACAATTTAATCGTTACAAACTTATAGATTGTCATCATCATTTTCTTGGCCATTATCATCATCATCCTCAGCGTCATCAGCCTCTTCGTCATCATCCGCATTGCATCATCATCAGCCTCATCGTCACTATCAACATCATCAGTGTGCCATGTCAGTGTATTTCTACTTCTTCTTTTTTTCTTGTTGTTCTTCATCCTGTTCTTGTTCTTGTTCTTGTTCTTTTTCTTGATCTTGTTCTTCTTCTTCTTCTTCTTCTTCTTCTTCTTCATTCTTCTTCTTCTTCTTCTTCTTCTTCTTCTTCTTCTTCTTCTTCTTCTTCTTCTTCTTCTTCTTCTTCTTCTTCTTCTTCTTCTTCTTCTTCTTCTTCTTCTTCTTCTTCTTCTTCTTCTTCTTCTTCTTCTTCTTCTTCTTCTTCTTCTTCTTATTATTATTGATATTATTATTATTATTATTATTCTTTTTCGGAGCCGTTTTCTTCTTTCTCTTCTTCTTCCGCGTCCTCTACTTCTTGATGTCGACAACAGTGATAGCTTTGGCTATTCAAATAGCCCTGGCAATCTACTGAACATAAACATTGTAGAGCTACAACAAACAGTAAGAGTTCAGTCCCGTTGCTGACGCTAATGTAAAGCAATGCAAAATACATAAGTCTCTCCCCTCTCCCTCCCTCCACCTCTCTCTCTCTCTCTCTCTCTCTCTCTCTCTCTCTCTCTCTCTCTCTCTCTCTCTCTCTCTCTCTCTCTCTCTCTCTCTCTCTCTCTCTCTCACTCACTCACTCACTTTCTTTATCTCGGGAATTCCACCCCTAGTATCTTGTCGTTTTTCAATGGAAAGAAGTCTTTTCTGAACTTTAGCAAGTCTACTATTCACACTCGCCATCGCCATGCGTTTTGATTCCCAATATTCCTTTTTTAACAACTCTTTCGTGTGTGGGTGCGCGCGCGCTCACTTGGACATAGATCATGTCTGTGTGTGTGCGTCCGTGATTTCTCGAAAACTTTAGTGCTCTCAGTTTCGATAATGTTTAAGGATAAATAATTGCACTGTAAGATGCCTTTTTTCACGGATTAGATTTGTTCTGTTACATATAAGTAACAGCAGCTAAAGGTCAGTTCAAATTCCGCTATATAAGCATTCAGTAAAGGACCCGTTTCGCACGCCTTTAAGGGTATAGGGCATATAGGGTTAGACATATATTTTATAGACTAACGGCACAAGATGGGTGATGTGGTCAGCATCACACCGGCCGCTTTTACTTCCCGGGACTGCACCCGGTACTCACTCAAGGCTGGGTCGACCTGGCAGCCAATTCATTTTTAAAAATTTCCGGCTAGGCCAGGAAGCGAACCCACGACCTTCCGATCCGCGGCGAGCGTTTAACCGCTTTGCCACGGCGACTCGCATTTAGGCGTGTTTTTATAGCTAGCTTCATATTTCTTCAGATTATTGGGCCCTGGGTGGGTGATAGAGTGACTTTGAAACACTATCATGTCTCTACATCAGAGGATATTTCATGATACACATGTTAGACTGGGTGGAAGCTCTTGTCCTGTTTTAATGTCCTCTAGGTGGGGATTCGAACTTATTAAGTTTAGTTCGGCACAGAAGGGTTCTGGCCACAGCGCTGCCACTGCTTCATTTCGGCTTATATCGTTTAACTTCGCATTCACGAAGTGTTTAATGACACTACGCAGTCACCTATGTTTTAAATGACACGATATAATGTCAAATAACTGTTTAATGACAGATGGTCAAAAACTTTGTGTTGCTTTTTAAACTGTTATTAGAAAATAACCCACCAAGAAATGAAAAATATGTACATCCTGAAAAGATCCGAATATCAGGGAAGAATGGCTGATAAACAGCATCTTGTCCCGAAAACTGAAATATGCTGCCTATATCAAGCGATACAAAGCAGAAGGCGTGGTACCGGGAAAGATGGGCAGGGACTCATCAGGAGAGAGATGGACAGGGACCAATCAGGAGAGAGATGGGCAGGGACTCATCAGGAGAGAGACAAACCAGAGCTTTCCGCCCAAGTTTAAACCGGTAAAGGCGAAGAAGAATCAGAACAGAGTTCGGTAATAAATGTTTTTTTTCCCGCAGAAACCGAACCGGAAGTTTGCCCTTACGAGACCTGTCTACAGATACTAGGAGAGGAAGCCAACTGTTGGTCAGTTTTCATGTATTGTTGGGGGAAGGGGGGGGGATGGTGGGGGCTGCGTGGTCTTGGGAAATGATGTCCGCCTCGAGTGCTAGATGTCCTGGGTTTGTGTGTGTGTGTGTATGTGTGTGTGTGTGTGTGTGTCTCGTCGTTAGTATGCTGATGTTAGATTTGTAATTTAAAATTTGTTATACTTAATCCGCAAAAAAGAAATGATACTTGACTGCACATTTTAACTTGTTCACATTTTGTCCACGTGGAAGGAATATTCCAGAAGCAATTCTCTGTGGCGAGGGACGAGTCTTGAACAACCCTGCTTGTGCCGAAGATATTCGAAACGGAGCCAGAGACCAAATACGTCAGGGACAAGCGTTTCTGAAGGAGCACTGTTCATTCAACATCAGTGGTTTGTTTTATTGATTGTCTTCTCACTGCCCGTTCAACATCAGTGGTTTGTTTTTATTGATTGTCGTTCTCACTGTCCGTTCAACATCAGTGGATTGTTTTATTGATTGTCGGTCTCACTGTCCGTTCAACATCAGTGGTTTGTTTTATTGATTATCGTTCTCACTGTCCGTTCAACATCAGTGGTTTGTTTTATTTATTGTCGTTCTCACTGTCCGTTCAACATCAGTGGTTTGTTTTATTGATGGTCGTTCTCACTGTCCATTTAACATCAGTGGTTTGTTTTATTTATTGTCGTTCTCACTGTCCGTTCAACATCAGTGGTTTGTTTTATTGATTGTCGTTCTCACTGTCCATTTAACATCAGTGGTTTGTTTTATTGATTGTCGTTCTCACTGTCTATTTAACATCAGTGGTTTGTTTTATTTATTGTCGTTCTCACTGTCCGTTCAACATCAGTGGTTTGTTTTATTGATGGTCGTTCTCACTGTCCATTTAACATCAGTGGTTTGTTTTATTGATTATCGTTCTCACTGTCCATTTAACATCAGTGGTTTGTTTTATTGATTGTCGTTCTCACTGTCCATTTAACATCAGTGGTTTGTTTTATTGATTGTCGTTCTCAATGTCCGTTCATCATCAGTGGTTTGTTTTATTGATTGTCGTTCTCAATGTCCGTTCATCATCAGTGGTTTGTTTTATTGATTGTCGTTCTCACTGTCCATTTAACATCAGTGGTTTGTTTTATTGATTGTCGTTCTCACTATCCATTGAACATCAGTGGTTTGTTTTATTGATTGTCGTTCTCACTGCAGGATGTGTCAGGTTATGTGAGCATTTACATACAGGGAAATGGGGTGTATTAAATATGTCAATCTAATTACAGTTTTGTCAAACTTTGTAAGATTATAGATACAATATCAATGTGTGCATTCCAGAGCCCCAGTATGACGGAGGGGGAAAATAGACCCACTACCCCTACAAGCATGTCGTAAAAGTCAACTAGTTAGGGGTGTTTCCTCTAAATTCGAAGAGGTCATGAATCAATAGTCTGCATACACAAAAGCCAGATTTGTACAAATGTGTGCACTTTGAAATTTGAACAAAGAAGACACAAACAATAGATTACATAATGTATTGTCTGACATATTTCGCTGTACCACGTTAAGGGCATAATACGGTAATAATTGGTTAAAATGAAGCAAAGAATACCTCCTAACTAAAACACCAAATCGACTACATACAAAAACTGTCTGTTTCACCAGGGTACACGCAAGGTGAAGACCGTGTCTTTTTGTCTCTACAATTCTGGCAGCTGCTTCCATTAATCTCAATAATCTCAGCTTGGCTGAGGTGTCAATAATTCAAAAAACATCCACCTTGTTTACAATGTCCCCACAATTCAAAATACGTCACGCAATGGCTGACGGGTGATTTGTTTTTTCGACCAGTGACGACCTGTATGCATGATATTATCACTACTTGGTAATACTAAAACGGTCTTTTTATATCAAATTCTTTAGTACTGTTTCTTAATGTTTAATTTCATTTTCTATCTTATCTGTATCATGAAAAGATATCGAGCGAAACGAACAGTAGAACTAGTCAGCTTCAAGTTATCACAATCATAATAAACAAGTGAACGTTGCAGCAAGGAAGGCCTTCATCAGCATATTACATTAGTGGACAATGTTACAATTACCAACAGGAATAAATACAATAGTTTAACTGAGGTATCTCTGGGAGAAATCCACATGTCTGCCTGGGAGGTATTATGTTTATATGTGCGTACTTGTGTATGTCTGTGTGTGTGCAATTACACCTTAACTGTTGCTTCTGTCGTTAGGGGGATCCGAAAAGTGCGACGTGAGGAAATGTTTGGAGGGAGTAAACACACAAGGGGTTACCTGTCAGTAAGTTATTGTTGTTGTTTTGAGTGTCAATGATGACGTGTTTGTCACACATGGTGTCTATGTTGGATATAGCATTTTTTTTATCCACAGTAATATGGCATGATCTGGTTAATAGTGCGTGTTTCTAACAATGTAGTTGTAGCAACAACAGCAGCAACAATAAAAGCTGTAGCAACAGCAGCAACAATAAAAGCTGTAGCAACGGCAGCAACAATAAAAGCTGTAGCAACAGCAGCAGAAATAGACAAATATAGAAGTAGCAGTATTAGCAGACAGCAACTGTAGTAGAAGATATAGTAGTGCTTTATTTACAAATATTGGATTTGATGTCTAAATGTGCAGAAAGAAAAATGAAAAATCTACGTGCTGTAACATATTCTAATTTCCCAACTTCACAGATTCTTCTGTGACACAATCCTAACCTTGCTGATTATTTTTTGTTTCTGAACCAATTCTTTAAAAACTGTATTGAAGATCCTATGTCGCATTCAGCTTAAACCTGGCACC